GAGGCTCTCGCGAGAGCGGTGCGGAGCCTGGCGGCGGGCGCCGTGCCCGTACAGCCGCCCGCGCCCCTCTCCGCCCTTGCGGCCTGGCCTGGAGTGGTGCCGCGGGGCGCAGGGGCTGCCCTGAAAACCCAGGGAGGGGAGTCAGGGGAAATTTGGTCGGAGTCCTGCAGAAAGTGGTTGTGCCAATTTACTGCCCATCAAACTAGGCCTGTTTCTGGTAACCATTTGTATTAGGCCCTGTGCCAGTATTCTAATATACCACGGTTTTGGCAAGTGCCTCTTTAAAACTCATCCATGAGTATTTTATGTTCTACCTGTGGACATCCAGTAACAATAACACTTGGCCATTCCTTTAAATGCTTTGAGATTTATGGTTAAAATAAGTTACATAAAAGTTGCTATAAATTAAAACGGCGTTCTCATTCTGGAAGGGTCAGTGCACGAGGTTTTTATTTTGTTGGGTTTAGCTAAATATTACTATCTGGGAATATGCACATGCCAAATCAAAAGCAAGGTAGAATTAGCACAGTTAAGAAAAAGTGGAAGGATAATGCGATAATTATTTACGTTGTATGTTACAAAATTCCTGTTATGCAAAATGTAAATTATTTTCCTATTAGTTCTGCTGCATGCAAAGTCAGTTCAGTACTATCCGCAGTACATCTAGTAGATCAGAGTAGCTCTAAATATTTCTGACATAAGTTCAAATAAAGCAGTATTTTTTTTCTTCTCAAGGCTGTATTTTAGCAGTTCGAACAAACATTTACCCCAACTCCTCCTCTCCACTGGCTTTTGTTTGTTTTAAGGTGTTTCCAAAACCACCTACGTGTAACAGGGAGTTTAAATTCTCAAACCCGGATCTAACATCCTAGTTGAGTATGCAACAATTGCAGTCACCACTAGAAATAAAACCTGCTTAGTGAAAACTACAGAGATATCTCTGGAAAGGCTGACCGGTGGTCAAGACAAAAACTTTGGTGAGTTCGGCTGTAAAAAATTCTCCTGTGATACTTTGGTAATATTCAGAACTTATTTTTCTGTTTGTCTGGAAGTCAAGAACTATAAACAGAAAGAGAATCCACAGGCACAAATATACTTTAAATATATTTTCTATCTCTATGCTACTTTTTCTGGAACTTTCCATGGATACTTCTAAAATTAAGTAACATTTTTAATTATTACAGATAATCTTCCACAAATAATAAAATTATTCCTAACAAGTTTTACCAACAATGTTGATGCAGTGGCTAGCAAATATGACTCAATGGAGGAAAAGGAAAAAGAAACTGGAAATGAATATTCTTTCTCCTCAACCGCCTAGGCCTTCTGGAAGAGTACTTTTCCAAAGGAAGGGTGAGTTGACATCAGTGGATATGCACTGCTGACTTAAAAAAGTAATCTACCGCATAAAGTAAAAATTCTGCATTAAGGAAAATGAAATGCTTTCAGTGTACATTCTAATACTGGGAGAAATAAAGTATTTTCTTAGAATGAGTATACACCAAGTTAGGGTCCTATTTGCTGTTGTATTATTTTGCTTCTCCTTGGTTTTCTCTGTGGTTTGCACCATCGTAACAGCTGCAAGAAATTTGTTGAAGTTTTAGGGCATTGGTTTGAGTCACTATGTAATGAAATTTAATTGTGCTACTGACTGATTAAAAATACTCTTTTATTTCTAGTGAACTTTCAGAATAGTATACTTTCTGTTCTTCCTTTTTCACTTTTAAATGTCTTTAAGTGTTAGTTGCCCTTTTCTCTTGTTGTCTATAGAATTCATCTCACCGTTCTGACTTTGGGACTTGTGTCTTTTCAGTGTAACTTTCTGAAAATGTTATGGAATTGAGTACTTTTGAAATTATAACACTGAATTGCTTTCTGTGCATCTGTTTGAAGTTCGCCTGTGGGTTTTTGGTTTTGGTTTTAATTTTTATCTTTTTTTTATGAACTGAGGAGTTTACATGTCCTTGGCAAACTCCTCCTTTATACTCCCACAACTGGCAAGAGATTTGTGGACGTGGAAATTTAAAATCCCTCCCTGTAAGTTTTGCTCTTGTTTACTTGTCCATGTTTTTAGACTGAGGAGAACTGGTGAACAATAGTGGAGATAGTAGTGGCATAGAAATACTATCATATTTTTGACATATTAAGAAGAGAGGATAACGGTGTTTCAGTCCTTTATATTTGGTTAGTGGTCATAGCATGTTTTCAAGGTTGAAGTGAAGGGGGATGTGGTAGTCAGCGGAATTTTTTCCAGTCCTCCCCCATGTCAGGATTGGTTGCACTGAGATCTCAGCAAAGACTGAATTTACCGTTCTGGCTTTTTGTGGCGGGCACCAGTCTGAAGTGCCCTGAAACCTAAGCGTCATGGTAACGTGGGTTTGGGTGAAAAAAGATAACCACGCTAACAAAAATCTGAATACCACTGTTGTTAGGGCTATGTGAAAGTTATTGTGCAGATAGTGAACAAATGTGTTATATTTCTAAATATTTATAAATATGAGATAACGTATTGTCCCAGGCTAAAACCCACCAGGAATATAATCTCATTGTATTTTTTTCCCCAGGCAGTCCGAAGAAACTTGTAAACGGTCTCCCAGATGAAAAAGTTGCCCCAAGTACCCACGGTGGCCGGCGGGCCACAAGGCGGGTGGATTGCAGGGCTGCCGAGAGGAGCCCGGCTGCCCCGGTACCGAGGGTTCCCCTGAAGCGGCCCCCGCGAGCACCGGGAGAAGCAGGAGCGGGGCGAGACAGCCACGGGCGGGGGCGAGGACGGCTCCGGCCCGGGCGGCACAGGCGCAGCCCACGGGTGGCGACGGCGAAACTCTGGCCGGTGGCCGGGATGGCGCCTTTCGCGAACGGTGTGAGGAGCGCGGCTGAGGCAAACGATCTTTAGAAGGACTCTGAAAGCCGAACTGGGAAGGAAAC